CATGAACCGGACCAACCTAAAGGAAGCAGTGAAGGACAGGAAGGCCTGGCGCAATATGGTTGATGGGGTCACGAAGAGTCGGACAGGACTTAACGACTGAACAAAAAAAAAGAAGAAGATACAGATAGTCCTTAGTTAACCGTGGCAGTTGGGACTTGAATTGCCATCGCTAAGCGATGCAGTTGTAAAGCACAATGTCACGTAACTGCGCCGCTTAGCAATGGCAATTCTGGCACCCCCAGTTGCCATCGTTAAGCAAATCACCACAGGTCGTTAAATGGGGCTGTCACATGGTCACCATTTGTGACCTCCTGCTGGCTTCCCTATTGACTTCTCTTGTTGGAAGCTGGCAAAAGAAGGTCACAAATGGCAACTGCAGGATGCTGTGACTTCGTAATTGTGAGCCTGGCACCGAGCACCCAGATTGTGATCATGGGACTGCGGGGATATTGTGATGGCCAAAATTCAGAGGAAAGGTCATAAATACCACTCGTTCAGTGCTATTGCAAGTTTTAACAGTTGCTGAATAAGTGGTCATTAACTGAGGACTACCTGTATTGCCCAGTCATATGATTTGGATTTGTTATAATCAGTGTTTCTACTAAAAAAGATAGGTTAAAATCCTATTTAAATTTGTTTGGGAGGAAAACTTTTTCAGTTCAATGAGACTTCTAAATAATCATTCACAGGACCCTATTATATATCTATGATACAGTTGCAATTGAATGTTTCCATCTGCTTATAAAACCAGAAGAGCCCATTCCCATTTCTTCACAGATTAATAGAGTTTATTATTTTACATTAGGGTCTGGCTAATAGCTCTGAGAAGCAAATGGCACTGGCAATTATTATTTTAATAAATCTCACCGTTGGAAACCTGTGTAGGTTGTATATATGTGTGACATGCACTTTGATCTTGTGCTTGGTTATTCCAGATAAACACAACTAAATCAATGGGATTTATTTTCTAGAATGTGCATGTGTAGGATTACATCAGCCCTACTATTAGACCTTTGAGTTTTTTCTAAATGTAAAACTTACAATGTAGTTTTTACTAATCTCATATTGGATGTGGTGTACTCTTATGAAAACATGAACATTTTTTAACAATCTGATGTGAAAACACACATGCATGAAAACACTTGTGCTATTTTCCTCTTCAAGCAGAGTGCTATTTTCCTCTTCAAGCAGAGTATATCAGCAGTAATATCTAATGTAGGACAGTAGTTATGATGATTTAAACCTATTTGTAATAAATTTGTAGGCTTATAGTTATTTTTACCTCCTTTCACTGACTTGCAAACCCTTTGTAGAGATAAGCTGTTAGTAATTGTAGACACAATAAAAATAAATGCAGGTAGTCCTCCACTTACGACCACAGTTGGGACCAGAACTTCTGTCGCTAAGCGATGCAATCATTAAGCGAGTTGCACTTGATTTTACATAAGTGCGAGGACCAGTCGTAAATCACTTTTTTTCAACACCATCGTAACTTCAAATGGTTGTTAAATGAAAGGTCATAAGTCAAGAGCTACCTGTAGGTATGAGAGCCCATTCTACATAAGAAACCTAATGAGGTATCAAAAGTCTCATTCCTCCTCCATACAAATCTACATAGTTCTCCCTCCCATGTCAGCCTTGCAAGGTAGTCCAGACAAGAAGCACACCCAGATGAACTAGTTGTATCTATATTGTAAGGATACATTAACAGAATCTTGCAAGTCTGAAAGTACGTTTTTCCCCCATTGCCTTTACAGCCCAAGAAACTAGGGAGGGTCCCTTCTGGAATGTTTGCCACATCCACTTTCCTGCTGTGGGCTAAGCTGCCTCTTACCTGACTGTTCCCCTGGCTGGGGCTCTTCCTCCTGTCTCCCAAGGTCACTCCCACATACCATTACACGTGCTTACTATTTGCAGTGCAAATAGTGCAAAGGATGGGATAATTTATAGTCCCATAACTGCTAACGGTGTTCCTAATTGAAGTGGCTTAGTTCACGTAATTGCTAATAAAGTTCCTTCATTTGCGCAAGCGGTACTAATCTACCCTGCAACTTTCTCTTCTAGAAATGGCCAATGAGATCACGCCTATACATTGGAGCATCAGGACAGTTTTTGAATCCTTCAGTGCAAACAGAAAATGTAAATCAAGGAGAAACCTCGACAAATTCTCAAATGTAATACTGTTTTTTCTTAAGTGCTGTTGTATTTATTATTCCAGATATATTTGAATTAAAATGAATCTTCCAGTATCTGTGATATTTCTCCCAGTTGGCAGCACCTTTAGTAGGTAGGCTTGACATTCAGCATCCTGGTTCAGATTGCTTTCTTCACAGCCAGAAACAATATGTTCATCTGAGCTGTGCAGTGTAATCCATCTGTTTCTTAAATAGTTATTATAATTTCTCAAAAGGCAAAATACACTTTTCATTGTACAGATGTTGCTACTACTGAAATCTGCAAGATCCTGGCTTATGTGTCATCTTGTTTGTGAGAACAGAATCCTTTCTTTCTGAAGAAATGGCTGAATGACACGTGGAGCTGGTCCTTAGAATGAATGCAGTGGATAATCTACAGCCATTCAGGCAGTGATCTTTGCTGATAATTTATAAAATGTGGATTACCTCTGAAAGTTGTACCCCAATTCTTAATAAATCAATCAAGATAACCCAGATGGTCATTGTTTAAGTTAATGCATCCAGGCTTTTGAGAACATAAGAGCTCTGCAGAAATATTTCAAGGATTTCAGTGATCCATCTAGTCCTATATATTCAGGTATACCTATTAATATTTTGCCATATGCATCACAAAATTGCTCTATATGACATAAGGCAATAGTCTTCTCACACAGGTTGTCCTCAGCATTTGGCATGCTGAAAGGTAAATTCTGAAGTCAGAAAATAATGTGTTTAATAGCTATTGAGAGCTCAGCTCAGTGTTGAAGTAGCTGGTGTTTTGAAGAATTAATCCAAGAAATAACAGCATTGCAGAACTGCACATATGAATTTTACACATGAAATTCTGTTGATTTTATAGAGTCTCAGCAATAAAATATTGTTTTGAAAAATAAGTTACAACCTTCGCTCTTTCTAAAAGTATGACCAAAAATCTTTGCACAGGGTATTGTTATAAACTGTACATCTATTAATGTTTCATAAACATTTGATCATATTATTTATATGTGTATGTATAGTCACTTTTCAATTAACAATTCATGTATCTGATGAAATTGATCCTGAGAAATGTATGCCCTGTCTTTCTATCAGTTTGTAGGGTGCCGGAAGATTCTTTGCTCTTGCTGCTACAGATCAAGAGAGCTCTCCCACTGGAAGTATTTATTACTTACATGTTGTTTTTAAATAAAATTACTTAATTTTCTCTTAATTTGTTGAAGTGATTGTGTGTTAACTAGGTAAAGTAGAAACAAAAGATATATCAAAACATAAGTGTGGCATAAAAACAATGTATGCAGCCTTATAGATTAAATATGGTTATTATACCTTTAGTATAATTTGCTATTGGTTGTGTTTATCTGTATCTTGAATGTACTAAGTATTTTGGGAAAGAGCTTACTTCTGTGGTTTAACATATGCGTATGCTTTATAAATGGTGCTCATTCCAGAAAATGAAGCTTGCATGCTTGGTTAGTTTGATTTAATATATTTGCATGTAAGCAACAGTGATTACAAGTACAGACAATTTTTCTTATTGTATGAATAAATTATTTGCATAATTGTGCCTCAAATAATGTTTATTATTATGTATTTTTTAAAACTGCCCTCTTGAAAAAAAAAAAACAAAGAAATGCAAGCATTTTCTGAGAAGCCAGGAAAATCAAATAAAAGGTTTTTAGGGAATTGTACCTCTTTTAGTAAAATTAGGACTTTAAGTAAATTATCGTCATGAATCAGGGCACTTACCATAATTCAGCAATGTAGCTGTCCTCAAAGATTGCATTTTTAGCCTTTAGCATTAACAAATTGATCTGTCCAAATGAGTCTCCATTGTTGAAGAAAAGCTTTATCTGAAATAATCATCGATGATGTTTATGTGCCATCAGGTCATTGTCAACTCTTAGTGACCACAGAGATTTTTATTTTGACACACTGTTACTTAAAAATATATATATACCTCATGTATAGATTTTTAAAAAAAATCCTTTACATTACTTTTAAATTTTTTAAAAAAATTATCCTGCCTTTATTATTTTTATAAATAACTCAAGGCAGTGAACATACCTGGTACTCCCTCCTCCTATTTTCTCCACAACAACAACCCTGTGGGGTGAGTTGGGCTAAGCGGGGGGACTGGCCAATAGTATAAATCAAAAGATAACAAATGCTGCTCTGTGCACTAACTCTATAACTCACCCAGAAATCCTAAATTCAGAGGGACTTACTCTCTAACTGCAGCCCAAGACGCTTGTAATTTTATATTGAATGTATTTAAAAGTTGGCCACTGAATCCTGAAACAGCTTTTTCTCTGTTCCCAACATAGCTGTCCCTACTAAATCTATAATAAAAAAAAGGTTCCTGCCCCTGCCATATAATGCAGCTCTCAAACATGCGTTGTGAGAAGTACCAAAAATTAACTTTAATTCCACCAAAATATAAACATTTCATAATTAGGATACATCATGATTTGTTGGCATGTACATAGAGAAAAAAATATTTTATCTGCAACCTAGTTTGAAACAAGTCATTTTAATCTCATTTCCATTTTATTCTCCCACCCACCACTTCAAGGCTTTACTCTGCACAAAGAGTACTCTGTTCTAAGTACCGTAATCTCTAAAGAACAAATGGTGACTGGCAAGGCATATATTAACACAAAAGATATTTAACCTGAGGGTATAATATTGTAATTATAAATTATAAACATGAGCAGAAACACATTGCTTACATTATTTAAAATAATTTTCCTAGGCTCAGGTTTATGTACATATTTGTGTGTGTGTGTGTGTGATGTCACATTTTTGCATCAAAAAGTATGATAGCAAATACTCCTTAATAGATGTAATTATTCTACATTGTTAAAATTTGATTTCAAGTCTTTATAGTAAATGCTATGTATTTTAAGAAAGCTTTGCAAAAAATATCTTTTCCAAAATATGCAGTGTGATACAATGGTATTTGAGGTGTGTGATGCTATTTTTTAAAATTTAAAAATAATCTAAAACACATTGTACATATACTACAAGCAAAACAGTCCATTCCTGAAGAGCAATAATCTGAAAGACTTAACATATAAGAAAAAAGAATGGCAAAGAAAAGGGATAGGCAACAAAATCAGGCATCTGTTTTAAGGTTACACAGTACTTAAAATGAATGGAAACAATTGATAGAGGACACACAAATCCAGGAAGAAATCCCATAATTGCTCCTATAGTAGGAACACTAATGCAAAAAATCCTGAAGGACAAGAAAGGATAGGTCTACACTAGCATGCCTTCACAATTAAAATGCAAAAGAAAGGGAGTAGAAGAACCCGGTATAGCAGGGGTCCTCAACCTTTGCAACTTTAAGATAGGGGGACTTCAACTCCCCCAATTCCCCAGCCAGCCTTGCTGTTGAGGAACCTATCTTAAAGTTGCCAAGGTTGAGGAACCCTGCTATACCGGGTTCTTCTACTCCCTTTCACCCGGTATAGCAGGGTTCCTCAACCTTGGCAACTTTAAGATAGGTGGACTTCAACTCCCAGAATTCCCTAGCCAGCCTTGCTGTTGAGGAACCCATCTTAAAGTTGCCAAGGTTGAGGAACCCTGCGGTACAGTACTAAAAAGTGATACCCAACTTCTGCCTCCGTAGAGATTTGACATACTGGCAAAGATCTGAACTTTACAAACTTCTCAGCCTCTTCTTCGCTGCTGAAGCACTCCTAAAATTTACAATAGAAACAGAAATGTTCTACTTCCACCAATATCCTCTAGAACCAGTCACAATACCCCCTTTATTAACCCTGCAATCTAAAGATTCAAAAGGGGACTAGAAGGGACTGTGTCTATTACAAACAATTTACAAACTAAATGTATATCTATTAAATGGACCAATCTGCAGTGATTTCCCTGGCAAATTCTCCCAATGGGTTGGCTCAAGACCTTCCCTGATTGATTATACCCTAATCTCATGGAATTTGATTACTTCTGTACAAAAGTTTTATCTAGATAATCAACCTGATAGTGATCATCTTCCAGGTATTACAGTTATAAAAGCATTTGACAATTACTTTATGGAAACAAAACCCACCCCAATTTTGGAACCGGATCTAGAGCTGGGGCTGGTCCATGTCAGATGGACTCAGCCACTTAGTGAGCAAATTTCTCAGCTGCTTCTATCTGAAGCAGCACAGCAATTCCACTCTACTATAGTTGGAGAGAGGTCTGGAAATTGTCCTTTGCAGACATTCACCCAACTGATTGAGTTACTCCAGCCAGTGCTCTCCACCCAGATATCAAGGAAGAGGAAAAGACAAGGGGACAGAATTTATCCCTCTCAGCCCTGGTTTGATACGTAATGTTTTGAGGCCAAGAGTAAACTGATCAGGGAATTTAAGTTATATAAAGAGAACCCAGCTGAGCATTCCATCCAAGATTTTACACTCCTGAAGAAACAGTACAAATATCTTTTACAAAACAAGAAAAGAGAATTCACTAGGGCTTCCTGGCAGCAATTGATAACAGCATCTCAAGCCAGAGACTCGACTCTATTCTAGCACCTGATAGCTTTCCATCCAATTGGCAGGCCCTTTTCACTTCCTCACCTTTTACCTGCATCTGTGTGAGAGGAGCATTATATTCACAAGAAGAGGCTCCTAAATTTGACTTAGTTCTTAATGCTAACGTGCTCCCTAATTGGGCTCCAGTCACAAGTGGTGAAATAAAGATGCTCATGAATCAGCTGGTAAAGCTCCTGGTAAAGCTCCAGGAAATTACTTTATTACACCTGAAATATTATGCAGTAATTTGGAATGGAGGACCCCTGTTCTTGCTTCCCTGTTTACTTACATCAATCACACTGTGCAAATTCCAGAGGACTGGGGCCCAGCCATTATCGTGCCCATCTAAAAAAATGGTTCCCGAGACCTGGCTGCTAATTATAGGCCTATTAGCTTGTTAAGTACAATAAGTAAGTTCTATTCCAGACACCTATACAACAAATCGATTGGATTGATTTAGAGCATA